CCTTCATCCCTTCCCTCTGATTCGAGAACCTTTGCAGATAGAGCAAGTCGGGTGAATCAAGCATCCTTGAGTCGTCTTGCAAAGACCTCCCGCCTCAACAAGTACATGCCTGTCTTGAAAGACCATTGCCCCCTTCACTTTGGAATGACCGCAAAGCGCGTCTTGGCTGCCAACGACACCAATTGCCCTTACACGAACTCCGTGCCTATGCATGAGTACTATGTCTTCAAGAAAATGTTCACCTTTGCTCCCTTCACCTACTGCTTCCAATGCTGTTTGCCCCAGTCCAAAAACCACAACGGCGAGCAACCAGCGTGCCACGCTGAGTACGTATACAAGAAAAAGTCGCCATGTCCATTCGCAGGATTCATCTTCAAGGCAGTGTTCTGCATGTGGCATGAAGAAAGGTTCAGGACTCTGTTGGTAAAGGACGTCGCTGGAGGAGCGACTCTCTCCACCTTAGATGAGTTCATTGCTTGGGCAATCGAAGAGAATGCTGAAGAAGGGAAATATAACAACTGTGTGGAGGCATTTCTTTGGTTTTGCGCCGAGATCGAGAAGGTGAAGCCAAATTTTTTCATTTGATCCATGCATGATGTGAGTCTCATTTTATTTTCATGTGGAGAGTCGCATCTCTGATGGCAGCCAACCTTGACCCCATATAGTCTCGTTCGCTGCTGAACTCACAAGTAGACAATGTCGTTAAGAAATGTTTTATTCCATCGTTTGAGATCGTACTGGCTGTTTTCACGCATTTGTCTGCCTGCTCATAAAAGGATCTACTTAGATAAGATGCCAAAGCATTACTCTCTGTGGCCGCTTTGGGTCTCTGTCAAAAACCACCATATCTGTGAAGAAATTTGGTGTTGTGGACTCATCGTGGTAATCTAGATTCTCAGACATCCATTGCTATGTGCCAACAGCTCAAATTTCTCGCACAGAATTATGTCGCACCATAGTTCTGATAAAATGGGCAGCATGGCAGACAAGGATGGGCGAATTATAAACAGGCGAACTTGAAACACATGTAACGACGACGACGACAAGCAAAAAGAAAGGAGATACTGGACTGTTCTAACCCTCTTTGGGTGAATCTAGGTCAAAGCTTCACTTAGACCTCCTGGAACGTCCACATCTGCTTTGGGTCACTCTTGTCCAAGAAAGCAAGCTTGATCTACCAAATACATATCATAAGTTATTCTGTCCGTCGCATAATGAGCTTGGAACTGTACCTGGGTGTAATTGTGGTCGTCCGGAAGGAGGAGATGTCTGAAATGCAAGTAGACTCCGAATTTGAGGAATAACCGACCCGGCGCTGGTATGGATGCCAGATGAGTTTTTTGTATACGTGCATCATATGCATGTCCCTGTGAGTTGTGACCGAGCCAGTATACTTAGTATTGAAATATAGATAGGATATGCACTACGTATATCCTCCAGAACCAAAACACAGCAGAAGCGAAAATCAGTAGCACCTTCTCTCAAGCATTACAGCTCAAGAATACTCTGCCATTACAGGCTAGAGGGAGTGGCACCTCACCTCTTTCTTACTTGATTTTTTGCTGTTATTTTCGTGTTCTTGTCTTCACATTTTACATCTCTTTTGCTGTCATTCCTTCTTTTATTTTCGCATTTTCGTCTTTGTCTTTGTCTTGCTCACATTACTCCTATCATTTTCGCATTTTACCTCTCTGTCGTAGTCATTCCTTCTTTCATTTTCGCATTTTGGCCTTTCTAAGTGGCTCTTGTCCATCCTTTCAGTGTCACACTTTATATTTCGCATTTTTGCATCTCTTGCTCTTTCTCGCTCTCATTCCTTCTTTTATTTTCCTGTTTTATTGTCTTTTGACGTCATTCCTCATGTCATTTTCACATCTATCTAGCTCTCATTTCTTGTTTTATTTTCGCACTTGACCTTTATTTTCAGCTCTGATTCCTCTTGTCGGCTTCACACTTTATATTTTGCATTTTACCACTCTCTTAGATATATAGTCCAGTAGTCTGCAAGTGTGTATGAGACGGTTTAAATCATTTTTCAGACATACTATTTGAAGCCAGCTGGAGAAAGGGAAGGCTCAGCAAACACCAGCAGTGACGTCTTCGGAATTGGAGCATCCCACTGCTGGTCAGTATTGATATGAACTGAAATGATGGTTACCTTGCATTTGACACGAGGGATGGTTTCCTTTTGAGAGCAGGGACGGTTTCCTTTTGAGAGCAGGGACGGTTGCCTTTTGAGAGCAGGGACGGTTTCCTTTTGAGAACAGGGACGCAGGGACGCTTGCCTTTTCAGAGCAGGGACGCAGGGATGGTTTCCTTTTGAGAGCAGGGACGCTTGCCTTTTAAGAACAGGGACGCAGGGACGCTTGCCTTTTCAGAGCAGGGACGCAGGGATGGTTGCGCCCCGTGGGAATAAAAGGAAGCAGGGACACAGGGACGGTTACATACATCTTAAATAAACAAAGGAAGGTGTGAGGTAAGGGATTACCATTTCCGACCAAAAAAGCGGCAGATGGGAAAAAAGGAAGCAGGGACGCCCCATATATGGTTAGAGCAGGGACGGGGACGTCTAGAGGGGTGTAAACGGAGAAACAGATAGATAGTTAGCTCTGGTAAGCGGAATCAGTAGCTACCCCGACTAGCATGACATTACCAACGTCATCAGATCAACCTTGTCTCGAGACGTACAACATGGATGTTTCGGACCATGCTGGAGACTCTCGCAAAGAAAAGGACCCTCAGAGTCACCAGTATCCTCCGCAAAACATGCAAGATCTCTCACACAATGACCATTCATCTCAGCCTCTGCCTTGTTGTCCATTAGGTCAATCCGATATCGAGATGTACGACGTAAATGTCCATCACAATTCTTTACACCCTCATGAGCAAGAGGAACCTGATAATTCGCGATCTACTGCAACAAATGTGCGAGGTCGATCTCACATCAGTTTGCATTCATCTCGGCCTCAGCCATCCTCTGCAAGAAATCAGCACCAGGAGTTACGACGGATGGTTGAAGAAGATTTCAGGGAATTCATGAGTCACAGGTCCCTCAAGATCTATGAAACCAAGATGAGGATCTCCTACCCCTCCAATCATGCGACAAATATCAACAAGTATGTTGATATAATCGAAGAATGGGTTGTGATGAATGAACGACCACCGTATGAAGCCTATCGTGACTTCACTAATGAGATTCTTCGTCCTGTGCAATAAACCGGTTCGCTTTCTCGGTCTCTTCCTCGCTTACAACAATAAATTAGGTTACGTGCATCATTCTGACTCAAATAGCCTGTTTTTGGGTACAAATAGTCTCGTTTCAGTTCGCAAGATCATCATTTCTTTGCTTTCCATATATCCCCACTCAGAATGTTACTAATTCCGTTTGGACTTGAACTGGTATATACAGCCACCGCCACAGCTAGCATCACCAAACTGTACAGTACCAAACTCAGATTTGACACCGAAAAAGATAAGAGAACGTGAATGTTTCATTCATTTTTGTTCTTTTCTACTGGAGGATCAGACTTTGCATTAAATGCCGCTTAAGTAACGAGGAGTGATTCCAAGCTGAATTTCTCGAGGGAAGGGGTAACAAAATTTGATCTCCTCAACAAATTGAGTTGCGTCTGTTCCTGGCCACAAGAGTCCTAACATCGCTGACCGGATCACTGCCAGAAGGTTGACGCTGTTAGCCTCCATGGGGTTCCATGTTGGGATGGATGAATATGGCAATTTGGTCTTGCATGTTGAAATACAAGGAGCGACACTTATAACTTCAGATACTGCAATGCATCCATGTGAATATCTATAAGTTTCACTACCGAGGCCGTCCAGCTTATCATGAAGCGGACGCAAGACTGTGTCAATTTCCATATAGAACATTGTAGGAAATCAGTCGTGTCATCTCGAAGGGTGGCATCACATACCACTGGGGCAGAGAGACTTCGACAATACCACTGAGGCTGTCTTACAATGAGCTACCGTCATAGACAGGCATGGCACCACATGTGTATCACACATGTTGACATTGTTCCTACTGGTGAGCATTCCTCATATCCAAGTCAGCCTCGGCTCAAGATGAAGTCAAACATGTATTTCCAGTTATTAACATCCCAACAAAAAACAGTGAGATGTCTACCACCTTGCATGGAGCCTCCATGTCATACCGCAAATGAAAAGCGCTGATAACCATCGAGAGCATCGGCTTCGCACACTTTCTGGACAATTCGTGAGGCGAAAGCACTGACAGCATGCTTGAGCATTGATTTTCCACACAATTCGCACGTTCAGAACGATGTTGACAATGATCAATTCCGTCAGCCACATACGGCTGGTATGCCAAGCCACTGTCGAGAAGTGACACAAGCATCCGGATATGTAAATAACCAGGATCATCTGAAGAAGGTACCCAAGAAGGCAGCATGCGGATCCCTGGCACATATACAAACCTTGCGCAACCAATGCATGTTGGGCAACTACTCATCGCACCCTTGAACGAAGTCCTCGCTGGCCAGACAGAGCCACCACCTCCAAAGATGGGTACTGCTTCAATGCAGCGCATGGCTCTGAAATTATCAGGAGTCAGTAATAGTTGCCTCGACTGTTTGAAAGTGGCAGCTCCCCTGAAACTTGCTGATGATGCTAGACATTTGCTCGCTGTAATAGTTAACCAGGAGAAGGAAAAATGAAGGCCTTACACAATCCGTGATCCACATTGCGCAGGAAAGACGCAGGAAAGGGAGGCTAATTTGGAACAGGTGACGAAGTAAAATTAGACCAGAAAGTATAAGCTGGCAAACCTGACAAGGTGAGTAGCCCTCACAACAACAACCGCTGCCAGAGAGCATACCTTAGAATTATTGACTACCCTGCAAAAGGCAGAGGCAGTCCTACCCCGTCCAACACAATTCCGGCATACACTGGAATCATCTCCCATTACAAGGAGATGTGTGCAAGAGAGAACATGGAAGACATATAGGCCTACCTTACTGAGCTAGCAATAGACAGCGCAGCAGCACAACAACATGCATAACAAAACAAAAACGTAAAAAAGGCGTCAGTCCAAGAAGGACATGAAGAGCCTGATCCCCCAGGAACCCACACAGAGCCGGCAGTCCAACAAGGACATGCATAGCAAAAGGAGATGAACGTGAGACGACAAGCTGAAATGAAAACTTGCAATTACTACATAGGACCAAAACAAATGCAAAAACACACTCACCAAACGGACGGACAGTAGTAGTTAGAGAGCAATCCAGCAGCCACTCCTCTCAGGCGTTACAGCCTGAGAATTCTCTGGCATTTAAAAAGCAGAGGGAGCGCCGCCCCGCCCAACGCGACTCTTGATTACACAAGACACGTGTCCCATTACAGGAACGCGCGCGTTGGGCAGTTGGATGAAGGACCTGCGATCGAAAGACGCAGTGGCAGTCTAACAAAGGACATGCACAACGAAGGACTTGACAGACAGAGACAAACTCAAATCAAAACGCGGAGTTAATACACAAGACAAAGACAAAGACCCACCAAACAGACGTAGAGATGGGCTGTTGTGCTGCATATAGGGCGACATAACATATTGG